CTGAGGTGGGTGATGGTTATGATGGGGGCCAAGGTTCCAGACCAGCTTGAGCCGACAATAGCAAGACTCCATCTCTACAAAAAATAGAAAAATTATCCCAGGCACACCCATTGTCTCAGTCTACTTGGGAGGCTGAGGCAAGAAGGATCCACTCGAGCCTAGGAGTTGGATGTTGTAGTCGAGCTAGTCATGATGCCACTGATGACTGCCAGTTCATCCATGTTGCTGTAAATGACATGCTTTCTTCTTTTTTTTTTTTTTTTTGAGACAGAGTCTCACTTTGTTGCCCAGGCAGATGTGAGTGCCGTGGCATCACCTAGCTCACAGCAACCTCAAAACTCCTGGGCTCAAGCAATCCTGCTGCCTCAGCCTCCCGAGTAGCTGGGACTACAGGCATTGGCCACCATGCCCGGCTAATTTTTGTTATTTTTTAGTAGAGACAGGGTCTCAGTCTTGCTCAGGCTGGTCTCGAACTCCTGAGCTCAAACGATCCACCCGCCAAGGCCTACCAGAGTGCTAGGATTACAGGCGCAAGCCACTTGCCCGGCCTATTTTCTCTCTTTTTAATGATAGCCGTTCTAACTAGGGTTGTTTTTGACACATCTTTCTATCTTGTTTGTTAATCTATCCCATTTATAACATTTTGTAATGCCATTTGGGTCTCTCCTGGGTAGTTTTCATATTGCTTCTCCCCTTTCACCTTATGATATAATCATATTAATGTGAGGATGCTGTTTTCTAGCAGGGCCCACTAATGAAATGCCTTATTACATATCCTAGAGAATCTTTCTGTGCACCCCGGGGTCCTCTTTGTTGAAAGAGGTCAGCCATCTGTTTCTTCCAATTCTCCCTGCTTCACATATTGCCACAGTATGCGACACTCCAAACCTGTGATTCTTTTTATTATTGAGACATCACTCTGTTGCCAAGGCTAGAGTGCCATGGTGTCAGCCTAGCTCACTGCAACTCAAACTCTGGGCTCGAGCAATCCTCCTGCCTCAGCCTCCTGAGTAGCTGGGACTACAGGCATGTGCCACCATGCCGGCTAATTTTTTCTATATATTTTTTTAGTTGGCCAAATAATTTCCAGAAATAATACAAATAAAATTGACAAATTCACTTCAGTAAAGAAATTGCTATAATCTCTTATAATTTGGTTTTTAAAAAAATCTTTGTGAGCAGACACCTTAACTTGAATTTATCTTTGGATTCCCAATGCCCAGCACAGTCCCTGGTACACTGTAAGGGCTGAGTGCCTACGAAATTGATGAGTCAAGTTTCACTCCCTCTCTGAACTCTGCCAGGATGTGAGATCATTAGAACGCTCTGTGCTATGGATGACAATTGACAGTGACCGAAACAGGCAGAAAAGCACAACTAGGTATTAAGAGAAGCAGAAACCTCCATAGCTGGGAGGTGGTGGATAATGATTTATAGAGAAAATAATAATACTACATCTTACACTTGTATTTTTATGATTTTCAAAGTACTTTTACAAGATTCCTATCTCATTACTCCTGTGAAGTATTAGATTATTTAATATACAAACCCCATAATTCAAACAGGAAAAGAAATGCAACACTTTTACTATAAAGCATTATGAGCTGCATAAAGAGAAAAATTATAATCAGTTTAACTTTTTCCACGAGTGAAAGGTCATTCTTATTATGTAATCAGATAAACGCCTAGGTTAATAAGATTCACGAATCGACTATTTTCCAAGGGAAAAAAAATTAAGACTCATGAAATAAAATAAGCAACTAACTTCCTATGTGATTTTCGATGTGATGAATATACTATCGCCCCCCCAAATGGCTTCCCCCTCACCCTGAAAGTGGAATTTAAAATGCATGACAGCATAGCCCATCTACTGTATAAATAACCTACACAGTGAAAATGTCCCCAAATCTCAACAAGAAACGGACTGGCTCAGTTGAATGTTGCTTCAGACACAACCTCTGACAAACAACTTACCTTGAAAGTCTGGGCCACCTCTTTGCACCCTCCTCCTTCCGCACATCCTGGGGAGCATCCGTTACTGCAGTCCTTAAAGAAGAATTAAACCACCATTAAGTAAATGCAGGTGGGTAACTGGCGCCTGGGGTCACCAACATCACGCACCCACCACACTCACCATGACGCTCCGGTACCCAGGCAAACAGAAAACGGAGGACCAGACACCCGAGCACGCCGGCACGCACGGCAGGAGCCCCAGGCGAGCGCGTCCCGCCGAGGTCGCCGCTGTTTTTTGTCCTCCTCTGGTGGCTTAGGGAAGACCGGGTAAATTCCAGGTCAGCCCTCCAGAGCCAGGGCTCGGCAGCAAGGAACAAGAAGGCAATTGTCTCCCTTACAGCCCAGAAAATAGTCTAGACTAGGGTTTAGAGCCATTTATAGGAAAATCTCCTGGGCGCGCAGAGCCTCGTGGTCGTGCCCATCACGGGCGCACAGCAGCAAGCCCGCCCGAGGGGTGGGCACCGGCGTGAGCCATTTCCTCCCCGGGGCAGGGTCTTCCGAGGCCACACCTTCAGGACAAAACCTCCTGCTATTACTAGGAGGCAAGGTAAAGCATAAAGACATAGGGAAGCCCGACCAATTGGGGAAAAATAATGCAGATTAAAAAAAAAAAAGCCTAATCTTCTAAATAACTACGGGAGGGAAGGAGAAAGGGACCCAGGGAGGCAGAAGACCGCGGTCCAAGTATTTCGGGGAGGCGAAGGCACGCAGGATGTGCCTGCGGGTTCGGGCAGCGCAGAGACCCGCTCCCGCCTCCCGCACCCCCGGCGGCTCGCGTGGCTGCCCTCACGTCCCCGTGGCGGTCCTCGCCGCGCCGCGGAGCCGGTCACGCATCGGGCGGGGGGGGCGTGGGGGGCTGGGAGTTCAAAGGCTGGGACTTGAGATTTGCGGCAGGGATGCGGGGAGGGCACACGGGACCGGCGAAGGAGGACGGTGCGGGAAACGGCAGCAATGCGCCCGGCCCGGCCCGGCGGCGGGCCCGGAGCCCCGAGTTCCAGTCCTCCCCCGCGTCCGCAGACGCCCGGCGGCGGCGTACCTGCAGGGCGAGGCCGCCGGGCGGCCGCCGCCGGCTGGCCATGGGCGCGCTGCGGGCGGCGGGGCTGCGGAGGCGGCGGCGGCGGCTGCACGCGGCGCGCGGCGGGACGCGAAAAGCGGCGGCGGGCACTGGTGCCACGACCCGGGGCTGCGCGCCAGGGCCCGACGCAGGGAACCACGCAGCCCCTCCAGCATCCCTGGGGGAGGAGCCTCCCACAGGCAGGTCCCGGTCTGTCTGCGGTGGCGAAATGCAAAGCCGTTGTCCCCGCCACCTGGTCCCGTGGGGTGGCCCGAGACTGCGCCCTGCGTGCCAGCCAGCGCCTTTCCAAGTGCGGGCGCTTAGCTAGCATCCTCATTCACTTAATAAGTAATCTCTGGGTGAGGGGCCGGGAACAGCCTCTCGAGCCCCGGCGAAAGAAACCTGGGGGAAATTGCAGTTAGGGCAGCTTTTCCGCCGACTCCAGACCACAATGACAAAAGGCAGTTTCGGCCCGGAGAGTTCGATGGCGGGGAGTGGCCTTTGTGCATCGTCTCCAGACGGCCACGGACCCCCTTGTGCAAACCGAAGGGGAAGAATGTGAATCCGGTTTTTGGATTTCCTGGCGCCACCTAATTTGGAACTGCGGTTGGGGGGGGGGCTGCCACCAGGCTCCACATCCCTTTAAGAGAGCAGTTTCTGCCCAAAGATTGCGCCTTTCGTCGTTTACAGGCAAAACTGACCACCGAGAGCTCCCAATCCTACAGTTTGGACGGTTTTCTGATGGAGGCTCGTCATAGCAATGTTTATGAAGGAGGGCTGGGAAAGTGGCGTTGGAAATACCGCTGGATCTAAAAATGGAAAAGAAAGATTGGAATAGCTATTGTCTCCTGTGCTGTGTTCTCCCTGGGCTACGTCAGCCTAAATTATGAGCCTCCCTGGTTTTTAAATTAATAGGAAGTGGTGACTGGGGCTGACTTGATCCTGTTAAGTAGGGGGAGGGCTGTTATTCTGGGTGAAAGCGGTTAAATCCGATCTGGTTTTAGAATTGATTTCATACAGCCATGCAGACGATATACTGTAGCTCTAATCTTAACAAGTCAGAAAACAACCTTCACTTCTCCCTCCCATTATACCAAGCATACAAAAGCCTCTTATCCTGGGGTGGGGTCCCAAGCTCCGAAGACCACAGAGCCCTGGCAGGTCATGTGCCACCATAAAGTGGTACGTGTTCCTGGAAACCGTGAGTCCCTTGTTAAAGAAATGTTAAGTCAAATTTTTAATTTTTTTTTTTTTTTTTTTTTAGTATAGGCTAGGTAAACCCTAGGGCTCCAGTTTGCCACCTAGCATCAAGGCTTAAGAATAAGAAAGCCTTAGGAAGAGTTATAAACAATTACTTGCATTCAAAAGGCTGGTTGAAACGTTTACACCAGACATTCCGTCAAGGCCTGTTGTTTTAAAGATACACACTACACAATCCCAATTTTCTTGCTATTTTAAATGCTACTTGTAAATCCTTGCTTTTCAGCTAAGTCAAAAAAGCATATGTAATACAATGGTGTTATTAAAGAATGAACCATGGTGCCACCTATCCTTTCCCTCACCTTGAGTGCAAAATTTAGTGACAGTGACATCTGTATTAACTGCTTTACTTCCTCCCCTTCAGGTGACTATCATTTGACTTCAGTCCAAGTATTCCACCCACACCAGGTCCCTAATAGCCTTCATTTTGTTCAACCCAATGGTTTTGCTTCTGGTGCATTTTCTTGGCTGTACCTCTATGCTGATGACTCCCACATATATATTTTCAGTCCACCTCTCTCCTGAACAGGAGGTATTTGCAATCAAAAATCTGTCTAAAATATAAATTGTGTAGGGGTGCAGGAAATTTCACCCCAAAATATGACTCCCTGGTATAGAGAACATTTTGAATGAAAGGCCTTTGGAGATCAATAGGCATCAGAAGGAAGGGGCTTTCCCTCTATCTCCATAAAGACTAGATACTTTCCCTCTGTATTATCGATTGCAGGAAAGAAGATCTAGAATGCCAGGAGACCTGACCCAACCCATTTTCAAAACAATGCCTGTCAGGTTAATTTAATTTCCTAGGAAAATCATTTATAAGTCAAGCTGTTCCCCCCACCATCATTCATTCTTCAAGTATCTATTACCATCCTACTAGTAACCATTGATTGGCTCTGGACAGAATTACCAATATTCCCCAGCTACCCCCCCCCCCCCATGAAGATATATAAGTATTTGGGTCTCATTGGAATATTGGGCAATCACTCTGTCATTCTCCCTGGGTGCACAGTAACAATAAAACTTATGTATCTTTTCTCTTATTAATCTCCTTTATTAGGAGTTGATTTTTCAGTGAACGTTCACAGGGCAAAGAGGAAGTTTTCCCTTCCCAACACTACCACGTGCCAAGCCCTGGGCTAGAAGCTGGGGATGTTTGGAGCATACTGCCATCCGGTTAAATCATGCATTACCCCCAGGGTCCACATAGAATAGTACCAATTGTTTTACAAAGAGTGTTAACTAATCCCCCCCAACAAAATGTAAAATTGTAACAAGTGCTGCATGTGCTCTAAGAGCCTCTAATAATAGATGGCAGCCTACTTAGAAAAGCTTGGAAAGGCTTTCCAGCAAGCGATCCTTGAGCAGAGATCTGGAGGATTAAAATAAAAGAAATTTACTAAAGGAAGAAGGGATGAAGAGCACCTGAGATGAAAGTTCCAGGTCAAAAGAACATCTCTGAGAAGGGAAGGAGCATGGTGCTTAGAAAGGGCCCAAAGTGAACCAGAGGGGCTGGAGTAGCAGAAGGGGAGGGAATAGGATGTAAAAGCCTGATTGTCATAAAGGTATGAACTAAATTATAGAGTTTATTTAACTTATTTAATGAAGTTATCAGACACATGTCTAAATCGGTTCAAAGAATAGGCACGTTTATAAGTCAGAAATATTGAAACGAATATGCAAATGATACTGGCTTCTACAGTGAGGGAGAGAGGTTAATTGAGTGAACCCTGACCTTCAGAATTCAGTTGCATATCTACATCCAAGAATTATTTTGCATTTCTATCAGTTATCTGTAAAATAACTCAAATGCAATGAAGCCATGTAAGACAAGGAAAAGGTCAAAGGAATGAGAATCAGATAACCTTAAAGGTTTGCTCTAAACAATGAATTGTTTCCCACTGAAGTATAATTTTTTTCCCCTGCAGTGGGAAAATATAATTTCTTCATTCAGGAAGTGTTATTAATAAGCAACAACTGGAATAAACCAGACATATTAGTCACTGTACTTACTTGTCACATTAAGAAGCTCTGTCTTTAACAGTTTTTAATTTAGTTCAACCTAGGGGCAAGAAAAACCATGGAAAGGTTAAGGATGAGGTGAGGAATGGGGAGTAGGGACAGGATTGAAGGGCACTGGCTGCAGTTTGGAGACTGAAGGAGGTTTTTTTTTTTTTTGGTGGGGTCTCTATGCAGCCCCCGCTAGAATGCAGTGCTATTCACAGGCATGTTCTTAGCTCACTGCAGCCTTGAACTCCTGGGCTCAGGTGACCCTCCTGCCTCAGCCTCCAGAGTATCTAGGACTATAGGCTCCAGCCACCACACGCAGCTAGGAATGGAGTTTTGCAGAAGCAATGACTGAATCACATATGAGATGATCATATGAGATTAAACTCGGCTGGTGGTTGGTGAAAGAGATGTTAAAAAGCCAGAGGTCAGCAATCTTTAGATAGAATGGGCATGAGGAGGGACAGGATGAGAAGAATACCAAGGAGGGATCCTTGGATTTTCTGACTTGCTTATCTAGTTGGTGATACTATGTGAACTAGCATGTTTCCCCCGAAAATAAGACAGGGTCTTGTATGTATTTTTCCTCAAGAAGACACCCAAGGGCTTATTTTCAGGGGATGTGTTATTTTTTTTAAGTATGGTACAACAATCTACATTTATTCAAATATAGTTAAGTCGTCTTCTTCTGGAACATCATCATAACTCTCCAAACCCTGAATTCCATCCTGAATTTCTTGCGACTCTATTTCCTTTAGAACCATTGGCCCCAATCTCTCATGTCGAGCAACAGAGCTGTCATGGGGCAGATGAGAAGGGCTGCTCATCTTCTTTACCGCTCTGCAACCCAATGCATGGGTCTTGCAGACACTATGCGTAGCCACGCCTATCACTAGGTCTTATTTTCAGGGTAGGGCTTATAGTGCTCAAATGCTTAGAAATCCTGCTAGGGCTTATTTTATGGGTAGGTCTTATTTTCGGGGAAACATGGTAAAGTAAAATCCTAAGTCACCCCCCGCATGACTAAATAGAACCCCTCTCAGTCAAGGGGACCCCTGAGAAACCTTAAAGCTGAGTTCCCAGCCATGACAGGATGACACGTCAGATACAACTTATTATACCCCCCTTTCCCCCCCTTGCTAACTGCCATCAGGCTTTTTTCCTTGAGAGCTAAACAGAAACCAATCTTGTGATCTATCTATTCCTCCTTATCTGCAGTTTCAGGGCTACAACTAACCAGCATTCTTTCTTAACAAAA